CAGTAATTATGAATACATCTTGATTTGCATGTTAGATCAATTTAATACTGAAGAAGTTGGTAGAATTCTTCAATTTCATCATCACTGACTTTAATGTTTGGCATGCAAATTTGAATAATAGTGGTATTAACTGGTCTTCCTTGTAGGCGTTTGGATATTATCACAGACAGCATTGTACTTCAAGATAGATCTTGAAATGTTCTTTTTGATGATGAATGTGATGCCGTTCCTCTTGAATTTGTCATTCCCAGCATAGTAAACCATGTGATTGTCAGGAGTGAGACTTGGTCTAGGTTTTAGGCTTACAGTTAGGTTTTTATTTATTTATTTAATTTTATTGAAATCTACTTGATTTCTTCTTCATTTGGACGTTCTGTAACAAGAATATTCCCTCTTCTTACTTTATGTTTTTGTTGTTGTCAGTGTTGCAAAATAGTTCTCTATTTGCAGTCTTTAAATTTGTTTACTTTGAATACTTCTATATCTGGATTGGGAGTCCTGGTGTGGTGCTGTAGGATAAGCACTGAATTGCTAAGTGCAAGGTCAGTGATTCAAACCCACCAGTTGCTCCTTGGAAACCCTATACAGGGTCACTGTAAGTCAGAATGGACTCAATAGCACTTAACAACAACAACAACAACAATATCTGGACTGAGTTCTGGTTGATATTGTCATGTGCGTTAGTCTCATTGTTGTCTGCTCTGTTGGTTCTCTGTCCAAAGAACTCCTTTAAGTATTTTTTATAAAGTTGGTCTGGTTTTTACAAATTAAAGAAATTTTGTTTATTTGGAAATGTCTTAATTTAGCTGTCATATTTAATGGACAATTTTTCTGGGTATATGGTTCTTGGTTGACATTTTTTTCTTTTAGAGTTTTATATATGTCATCTTGCCTGCATGATTTCTGCTGAGAAAGCACAAATTAGTCTTATTAGTTCTCTATTGTAGGTAACTTTTTGTTTTTCCTGAGCTGCTCGCAGGATTCTTTCCTTGTCTTTGGGTTTCAAAAGTTTAATTATAATATGTCATGGTGTTTTTCTTTTGGGGATTATCCTGTTTGGAGTTTATTCAACTATATGAATAGCTGTCTTCTCATCTTTTATGATGTTAGGGAAGTTTTCTTCCAACAATATTGGAAGACTGTCTCTTGGACAATATTTTCTATGAGGTTTTTATCTGGAATTCCAATCACAAGTAAGTTATATCTCTTGATAGTATTCCACATAAATCCCAGGCTTTTGTTGGATTTTTTTGTTCTTTTTTTTCTGATTGTTCCTCTAGCAGATGAATATTGAGAGATTTTTCTTCAAGTTCAGTAATTCAGCCTTCAATATTACTTATTTTCCTCTTTAGTAGATACAATTCTATTTCTTTGTCCTTTCAATGTATTATCTGTTTCTGAAGTTTTAGTGTTAATCTTCTGACTTTCTAATTGATGTTTTTGTATGGATCCAATTTTTTTTCATTCATTTTGTCAGTTTGTTTCCTGAATTCTTCTATAGTTTTGTCTGTGTTTTCCTAGATTTCATCTGCAGTTTTCTCAATCATTCTCTCCATCCATTAGAGGTGCATTCTTTTGAATTCCTTACCAAGTAGTTCCGATTCTGGTATTATATTTTCTGATTTTGTATTTTGGTCACTTGTTCCAGGGACTCTGTTTTGTTTCTTTGTAAGCTGAAATTGTCTGTTTTCTCAAAGACATTGTGGTGTTGTATGTAAATGATGAATGTGTATTGGTGTGTTCTTAGGCACTCACCACCTGTCTCCTGGTGAATGTGGTAGAGACTGAAAGTATGAACACGGTTTTCTGTTCACTATTTGTGAGACATAGTTCAGGGTGAGTTAACACACCTCCACAAGAAGGGGAGCTATGTCCAGCATCCAACCCCAGGCAGAACAAAGGTTGCAGGAAGGAGCTCTACTGGCAACTGAATGATGAGTTTGGGAACATGGTTACCAGGAGGGCATAGGAACAAGGGAGAATTGCATCTCCCTGCTGCCATCCTCCAGTCGAATCCTGTGCCTGTCAGCCCAAGATGGCCTCACCACTCTACGCCAGCCCACAATTTGCCTGTTTTTCTTCTCTATTGTTGCTCCTATTCTGTTTCCTCTTCCAGTTGGCACTCAGTCCACCTCTCTGTCCTATTATCTGAAGCTCAGGGTTCCAGGATCACCACCTGTATCTGTTTCACTCAGTCAGCCATGTCTTTGTTGCAGAGGGTCAGCTTAGTGCATTTTTTTTTTTTTTACTCTGCCATCATTCCCTGGAAATTGGCTACAATCTTTATGAAAGCAGGTCTTTCTTCTGTGGAACTCCTGGGTGGATTCAAAATTCCAACCTTTCAGCCAGCAACCATTCCCCTCCTTTTGTTACAAAACATCTACCTTTACATTTGCAACGCTCGCAATCAGTCCTGATAACAGTTGTTAACTATTGAACCACAAGAGTCTTATCCCCATCTTCTTTCACCAGCCCTATCTGGACAGGTTGAAAACCACTCAGTGGAAAGTCTACCTTCCCCAACACCCTCTGAAACTAGGCTCCATCTTGAAAATTTGTAAGCCAGTCACTTCATGCCTTTGTAACCTTCCTATTTTGGGTAGCCAATGTCTAAGTTAACCTTGTGCCACCAGGACTCTTACCATTGTGTTGTTGTTGTTAAGGGCCGTCGAGTAGATTCTGACCTATAATGACCCTGTATAGGGTTTCCAAGGAGCAGCTGGTGAGCTCGAACTGCAGTCATTGTAGTTCAAATGGCTTTGCAGTCTGACTCATTAACCCACAGCGCCACAGCCACATAAGATACTACTGTATACCTACTATGATTAATAATAATAAAACAAAACAGACATTAACAATTGTTAGTGAGAATGCAGAGAAATTGATACCATTGCTGATGGGGATGTAAAATGATGCAGTCATTTTGGAAAACAGTTTCACATCTATTCAAAACATTAAACACATTTCTCCTTCTTTCCTAACCCTTTTGAACTTTGTCCTTGGGTAAATACTGTCCTTTTGATCTAAATTCTGGTTATTCTATGGTGTGCACACCTCATTAGTGGTATTATTCCCTTTACAGACCTGTCTATTGTTTGGTTGAAAATTGAGCAGACAGGGGTGAGTTTGTTTCCAGACCTGCAGGGTGACTAAGGACCAAAGGGAGTTCCACAATCTCTATCCAACTAATAGCCTGGTCTTTTTTTTTTTTTTTTTTTGCGTTGTGTTTCACATTTCTCACCCACTCTATCCAGGTGGTGGAATGGAAATAAATAGGAAACCCAGGGAGGAAGTGGAATAAATGATGTTCATTATGGGGATTTCACATTGTGGCAAAGTGGTTAAAGTGTTCAGAGATGCATACCTCCTAGTTGTTCTGTGGAAGAAAGGTGTGGCAGCTGGCGTCCGTAAAGATTATAGCCTTGAAAATCCTATGGGGCAGGTCTACTCTGTACATCTATAGGATTGCTATGAGTTGGAATAACTCTACAGCAAGGAGATTTGTTCTTTTGGTTGGGAACCTTCAGACTCAGGGTCTCCGACATTCCTCTCTTAAAGGTCCAGATGGTAGTGAGACTTTTTCCAGTGGTTTATTTTGCAAGGGTTGTCCCTGCTGGTGGAAATGGTTATGCCCAGTTGCTAATCAAAAAGTTGGAGGTTTGAGTACACCCACATGCATCTCAAAAACAAAAATGACTTGGCAATCTGCTCCTAAAAAAATCAGTCACTGAGAAAGCAGTTCTATCTCTGACACACATGATATTGCCTTGAATGGGAATCGACTTGATGGCAGCTGATTATCTGTAAAACATTTCTTTTTCCAGCACCACACTGGACTACATTCTTGTCACACAGCCAAATTATTTCCAAAGTTTGCAACATTCATGGTATTTGGCTAAGTCAGAGGATTGACTACAACTTGTTCCCAAGTTGGTCCAGAGGCTCTGAATTGTCTGGGCTGCAGTCAGCCTCCTGGGGCCTCTTCCAATGCCTCAGACAAACCAGACTCTTCCTATGATAGGCCCTGGACTCTTCCTCTTCCTTTCTTTGGAAAACTACCACCCATGAGTTCAAAACTCTTGACAGATCTAACACCTCTTTTTTTAAAAAGTTTTTATTGTGAATTGAGTGCTAGTTTACATGGGAGAACATCAGCTTTACATTATTCCTGTCATATTTTGTTTCATTGCAATGGTTACAATCTCCTCCATGCAGAATCATTCAACAGCATTTGCTTCCATTCCTTCTGTTTTTATTATTATTATTATTTTTATTTATGTATACCGAAGCCCTCAGGAATATATAACCATTCAAACAACCAAAGGGTACACCCTGCAAGCCTGCCCCTCCCCACCATCAACACACAGCCCCTCTCCCTTCCTGAGTCCACAGTCCCCAGCTGCTCCATCTCTCCTTATCATTTTGTCTGCCTCCTTCTCTGGATAGGTCCCGCACTCCACTCTTCTCCCTTGATGGTCCCAGGGTCCTCCACTCCTGGACTGCAAGATCAACAACTCCCCTCCTTTTGTTACAAAACATCTACCTTTACACTTGCAACAATTGTAATCAGTCCTGAAAGCAATTATTTGCTATTGAACCATAAGAGTCTTATCCCCATTTCCTTTTACCAACCCTAACTAGATAGGCTGGAAACCACTCAGTGGAGATTCTACATTCCCCTGCACCCTCTGAAACTAGGCTCCCTCTTGAAAACTTGTAAGCCAGTCACTTCGTGCCTTTGTAGCCTTCCCATTTTGGATAGCCAATGCCTAAGTTGCCCATACTTTGTCAACCCTGTGTATAGAGGGGGTGGAAATGATTCTTGCTGTAACAAATCTTTTAAGCTACTACATCCATAAGTATAGGTCAAGTTCATCAAATCCAACACTTCTTTTTAGGACACTGTGACTCTGAATGAAACTTGTGGGTGATATATCCTGAACCATAGTGCTCAGTAGAAATAGAAGGACAAAATAAACGGAGACATGACTTTTTTGCAGATGGTGAGGAGAATGCCATGCTTCTGCAAAGCCCTGGAACCTCAAATACTGGAGCTGAGACCTCTCACCGGGTCCGAAGAGCCACAACCTCAAGGATAGAGAGGATCTGGCCTGGAGGGGTCATCCCCTATGTCATTGGAGGGAACTTCACTGGTCAGTTGCTTCAGCTGGGACCTTCTTTGGGACTGGGTGGTTTGCCTCCATAGGGTGAGAGTGTCCTCATAAGAAGGACTCAGATGGAACTAGGTGGATGTGCACGGCCACAGACTAATGGTTTGCAGTGCTTCCATGACCCTGGTCCACCAGACTCAGGGAAATTGCAGTCTCTGTTGGGGTTATATCCTCATAGATGGCTGTCTTGGTTTCTGAGGCTTCATCGGGGTGACCTATGGCCCCAGTCTGGAAGGAGAGGCTTCATTTGCACAGTGGATATGAGAGGATGAGCATAAGCAACTACATGTGATGACATAACTCTTCTCCACCTAGATGACCACCCTGGGATTAGTGGGCTCCTGTTACCACATACCCAAGCAGTGTTCCACACAGTAATCCAAGGGGGGCAGTAGACCCAGTGGGAATGCTGGGTCCAACCTCTCTGTGATACCGTTCCTTCATCTGCAAACAAAGATGCCAATGCTTTTTGCACTTTAGAGGTATTATAAGGAGCCCTGGTGGCACTGTGGGATAAGCATTGGGCTGCTAACCTCAAGGTTGATTGTTCAAATCCACCAGCAGCTCTACAGGAGGAAGATGAGGCTTTCTGCTCCTGTACAGAGTTACACTCTCAGAAACCCTATATTGGGTCACTGTCAGATGGAGTCTACTTGATGGTGGTGTGTTTGGCTTGGTTTGCTTGGTGACTCAGTTAGTAAATGCTGTGCTTGGTGGTTCAAACCCACCCAAGTGGCTCCTCAGGAGAAAGACCTGATGAACTGTGCCCCTAAAGATTACAGCCTAGAAAATCCTGTGGGGCTCTACAGTTCCACTCTGTCACATGGTGTTTCTAGGAGTTGAAATAAATTCAACAGCACCACATAACAAGGGTTATTTTGTGCATTAAGTGAGTTTGTATAGATGAAGCATGTAGCATAGTGCCTAATCCACTGCTGTCGATTTGATTCCTACTCATAACCACCCTACAGAACAGAGTAGAACTGCCCTTAAGGTTCACAAGGCTATAAATTTTCATGGAAGCCGACAGCCACATCTCTCCTGCAGAGCAGCCATGGGTTCGAATAGCTGAGCTGAGCACGGAAAACCACTGCAGCACACTGGCTCCTGTAGACTAGTACCGGGCACACAATGGTGGTGGTGTCTGTGTGCCACCAAGTAGGGTTTCTGAGGCTGTGTATCTTTATGAGAGCAGAAAGCCTCATTTTTCTCCCTCAGAACAACTGGTAAATTTGAATTACTGATCTTGCTGTTGGCAGTCCACATTGTAATTCACTATGCTACAAGAGCGCCTTTGGCATATAATAATCAGTGATGATTTGTTATTAGTATCATTTGTCACTAGGGAGTCCTGGTGTGGTACTGTGGGATAGAGCACTGGAACACAAGGTCAGTTTGAACCACAAGATCGACAGTTCAAAGTCACCATCCACTCCTTGGAAACCTCAGGGTCACTGTGAGTCATAACTGACTCAATGGTACTCAACACCAGCAACATTATTGTCTTTAAAATATGGAAATCATCTAGTTGCTTCCCATTGCCACCAGAATAAATCCAAAATTCTTGACTGTGACCCCAGGCAACTCTTGCTTTCCTCTCTTACTTGGTCTTTGACTCCTCTTTTCCCTCAGTTCCTCGTCTCAAGAGACACTTTCTGTTCCAGAACATGCACACCCCGCTGCCTCCTTGGGTTCCTTACAGTTGTCTTTCTCCTTGCCTAGAATGTTCTTTCCCCAGATCTTTCCCTGGCTGGCTGCTTCTTATTCAAGTCTCAGCTAAAGTAACATGTCTACAGGTGGTCTTCTTTGACTCCACCTACTCCCACTATTATCTGTCCAAGCACCCTCTTTTATAACCTTCATGTTGTTGCCATTAAGTTGGTTCTGACTCATTGATCCTGTATAGAGCTTGCAGGGTCTTAAAGGACACAGGATGAGAGCATGGGTTTATTATGAAGACATTTTAAAGTGGCTTGGATCTGGTGCACCTTAGTCCTCAAACTGACATCTTTGCTCTTCAACATTTTAAAGAGGTCTTGTGCAGCAGATGTGCCTAATGCAATACGTCGTTTGATTTCTTGACTGCTGCTTCCATTTTAACCTGGTGAGTATTGCTTCAGAGGAGAGTTGATATAGGCCATCCTGGCTGTGATGAGGATGAACCCAAGTTAGAACTGACTTCTTGGCATCCAATAATAGGCTGTGTTCTTAGCAAGAGACATCCTTATTCCTAATGAATTATTTTTCTGGGCCATCAGAACAGGGGCTTTGTTGTTTTGTTGTTGTTGTTTTTGAAATCATCAGGACAAGCACTGTCTGAACCACATACTTAAAGCATCTAAGGAAGATAAAGACCATGCGTGAAGCGATGAGCTTGTGCCATGTCATTTCAGGAAGCCAGAGAGCCATTTTTAAACAGGCCATGCGTCACTGGGAGAAGCACACCTGTGTGACTTTCACTGAGAGGACTGACGAGGAAAGCTTCATTGTGTTCAGTTACAGGACCTGCGGGTAAGTGGCCTCCCCAAAACAGGTGTTGGAATCCGATAATGCAACCCCATTTAGGATAAGGGTCTTTCTGTTATGTTAATAAGGCCACATCAGTCCGTGTAGGGCGTGCCTTAAACCTAATAACTTTTTGAGATCTAAAAAGAGCAGATTAGATACAGTAAAAAGGAAACAAGAGAAAGATGAGGCTTTCTGCTCCTGTAAAGATTTACAGCCTTGGAAACCCTGTACTGGGTCTCTGTGAGCCAGCATTCTACTTGACACCAGTAGGTTTATTTGGATCTATTAGGCAGTAAGAAACTGTGGCTGGATTCTAAGCAGCAGAAATAACATTAATATATTCTGTAATTATAAAGCAATGAAATGACAGAAATGGAATATAGACGCCCCCTTATTATCTGGTGTGGCGCTGTGGGTTAATTCATCAGACTGCAAAGTCATTTGAACTGCAAGGTCGGTGGTTCAAGCTCACCAGCTGCTCCTTGGAAGCCCTATACAGGGTTGCTATGGGTCGGAACTTAACAACAACAACTCGATGGCACTTAACAACAACAACAACATTATCTGGTAGCATAGTGTTATGAATCAGGCTGAGAACCTCACAGTCAGCAGTTCGAAACTACCAGCTGTTTCACGGGAGAAAGATGAGACTTTCTGCTTCCGTAAAGATTTACAGCCTCGGAAACCCTGTACAGGGTCGCTATGAGTCGGAACCGACTCCACAGTACTTAACAACAACAACAAAATTATCTGGCAGGAGTCCTGGTGTAGTGTTGTGGGTTAATGCGCCAGACTGCAAAGCCATTTGAACTGCGAGGTCAGTGGTTCAAGCTCACCAGCTTCTCCTCGGAAACCCTATACAAGGTCACTATGGGTTGCAATTGACTCGACAGCACTTAACAACAACAACAATTATCTGGCAAGTTAAACCCCCACCCTGACTCTTGCTTTTTTGTTTACAACTCTTCAGTCATAAAGCAATTAGGATTAAAGCTGCAGAAAGTCTAGATTGTTGTTGTTAAGCCCTGTGGAGTCAGTTTGAACTCATAACAACCCTATATAGGGTTTCCAAGGCTTTAAATCTTTGCGGGAATAGAAAGTCTTATCATTCTCTCAGAATGTCTCGATGGGAAATAGCAATAACGAAAGGCCAATAGTTCAAAACCTAAGGCCTGTAGTCATTAAAGTGTTGTCCAGAGGAAAACCTACAACCTTAACTATCCACATTGCTAATTAAGAGTGGTAATAAAATCTTCAATTCAAAGAAGTTTGCAAAGACATCAACAACAAAACCAAACACCACCACAACAGATTTAAAAAAAAAAAAGAGTGGATGTGCGTACAAGGTAAGACCCCGTGGTGGTGGTGGTTATGTGCCGTGGAGTCGGTTCCGACTCATAGCGACCCTGTACAGGGTTTCTGAGGCTATAAATCTTGACAGGAGCAGAACGCCTTATCTTTCTTACGTGAAACAGCTGGTAGTTTCGAACTGCTGACTTTAAGGTTCACAGACCAATTCATAACCACTACACTACCAGAGCTTCTTAGGACTAATAAATTCAAGAGTGAGTTCTTTGAATAAATGTTGTTATTGTTGTTAGGTGCCATCAATTTGGTACCAACTCATAGCGGCCCTTTGCACAACAGAACGAAACACTGCCTGATCCTGGGCCAACCTCACAATTGTTAATACACTTGAGCACATTGATGCTACCACTTTGCCAATCCGTTTCGCTGGGGGTCTTCTTTTTCTCTGACCCTCCACTTTTGAATAAATAGACAAGCTAAACAACTTGGTAGTCTTAAGACAAAGGCTTGACAGTGCAGAAACACATAGAATTAGAAATTGAAAAGGGAGAAATAGTCACAGATTCCGTAGAATCATAAAAGAGTATTTTGCAAAGCTCAAGGACAAGAAATGTGAAAATTTGGATAATGTGAATGGCTTCAAGATAAATATAAAGTACTGACACAGATCAATAAATTTGAAAGAAATGGAAAAAATTGAGAGAAAAGGCTATTTTCCCCAAAGCGACAAACCCTTTTACAGGTGGATTATTTTAAACCTTCAAGGAACAGAGTATCCTGGTATTACTTAAAGTTTTTAAGGAGCTCTGATATTTTAGTGGATTGGGCTGCTAACCACAAGGTCAGCAGTTTGACTCTATCAGTAGCTCTGTGGGAGAAAGGTGCTCTGCCCCCGTAAAGATTTACAGCCTCCAAAACCACATATGGGTGTCAGAATTGGCTCCATGGCTCACAACAGTTACCACCATTGAAACTTCATAAAGCATAAAGAAAAGAGAACACTTTCAAATTAGGGTGCCACCACGGCATCTCTGCCCAACCAGATGATGATGGTACCCTAACAGAATAGTCTAGGATGATTTCACACATGGATAGTACAAAAACCTCACTGCTATCGAGTTGTTTCCAATTAACTGCAACCCTGTGATAGGGCTTCTGAGGTTGCACATCTTCACAGAATCAGAAAGCCTTGTCTTTCTCCCATGGAAAATCCTAAATAAAATGTTAGCACATAGCGTTCAGCAGTACAATAAAAGAAGAGTAAGCTGCCAAATAGGTTTCTCTAAAGAGTACAAGACCTCTAGTTAGCATTAGGAAATGTATTCACATGTTTCACCATATTGAGAGGGCAAAGGAGAAAAGCCTTAATCATATCTCAAGAGATGTTAAAGAGACATTTGACACACTTCCAGTCATTTTAATTTGGTTTAATTATAAAACGCACGGTGTCTCCATAGGATAAGCACTGGACTGCAAACTACGAGGTTGGTGGTTCGAGCCCACCAACTGCTCCATGGGAGAAAGATGAGGCTTTCAACTCCTGTAAAAGATTAAAAGCCTCAGAAACCCTATACAGGGTCTCTATGCGTTAAAACTGACTCCATGGTACTTAACACCATCAACAGCTCACAGGAATAGATGTCAAGGACAGACGATTGGTGTTATGGATTTAATTATGTTTCCCAAACATATGCCTTATGAATCATAACCTCTATGCCTGCGGTTATAATTCTGTTTGGGAATGGGTTGTGTTTGTGCAGGATTAGTTTAAAGCGGATCTTGAGTCCATCTCTTTTGAGACATGAGAGATTTAAAAAGCAAGGGAGAGAAGCCTTGGTGGGGGAAGAGAGGTGCCAAGCCACATGAAGAGCCTCCTATCTGCATAAGCGCATAGAGCCAACCGAGAGAGAACGCCTCCCTTAGAGGCAACACCGTCAATTTTGACTTTTAGTCTCCCAAACTGAGAGAAAATAAGTTTCTGTTTTATAAAGCCATTCTACTTGTGGTATTTCTGTTATATCAGCATTCGATAACTGTTAGGAATTGCATCCCCCTCAAAATATGTGCCAACTTGGCTTGGCCATGATTCTCAATAGTATGTAATTATCCTCGACTTTGTGATTTGATGTAATCATCCAATTGTTTTAAATCCTAACTTTTAAGAGGTTAAAGAGGCAGAACTCCTGGTGTGGTGCTGTAGGACCAGCCCTGGACTGCAAACCACAAGGTCGGCAATTCAAACCCACCAGCTACTCCTCAGACACGTTTTATAGGGTCGTTATGAGTTGGAGTCAACTCAAGGCACTCAACAACAAGAAGATGGTAATGAGGCAGGATTAGTGCCAGTTATGTTAATGAGGCAAGGTGCATCTACAGGATTAGGTTATATCTTGAATCAATCTCTTTTGAGATATAAAAAGCAGACATCTACTATCACAAGAAAGAAGAGCTGGGAACAGAGTATGCTCTGGAGTTCCTGTGCTGGGCAACTCCTAGACACAGAGGGAGATTGATGACAAGACCCATCACCCAGAGCTGACAGAGAGCGAGACTCATCCCCTGTAGCTGATGCCCTGAATTAGGACTGCTAGCCTACTAAACTGTGATAGAATGAATTTCTATTTATTAACTCAAAATCATAAAGAATACCAGGCTTTTGGGTAGATCAAGACTCGTGGAACCCATGAAACTATGGCTCTTACTCACCCTTCTAATCTGGAGAAGTATTCACCCCAATGGCTCAATTTGCAGCCATGCAATAGACAGGTCTGTAAGGATAACATTAGAATAAGAAACCATTTGAGTTCAAAAGGGTAGCATTGATTCAAGAACAAAGTTCAGAAGGATTAAGAAAGAAAGAGGAATGGAAACAAGGAGGAAGTGGGATAAGCGACATTACATTGTGGGGGATGCAATCAATGAAGTGAAACAAATATGTAGGAATCGTTGAATGGAAAACTGACTTGCTCTGCAAAGCTTTGTGATAAAAAGTTTTAAAAATGTATATTTAAAGCTAAAAAAAATTCTGCTTGGTAAAGCCATCCATTTGTTATTTCTGTTATAGCAGCTGGGACTGAAGGGGTCAGTAGGGTCACCACTCAGAAGGACTAAGACAAAGGGGCTGTGCAAAGCCCAGGGAGCAGAGTTGTCCTTCCAGCAGACCTGGAAGTCAGAGCTGAATCGTAGGGCTGAGTGGCCTCCAACCACAACCCAGAACTTGTGGTCAGCACCCGGATTCTGGAGGGTGGGTCATTGCCCAGATGGTCCTGAAGAACTGAGAATTAACTTCAAGCCTTGAGAGCTAGTGTAATTTGTTCTGCTGGGTTTTTGACTTGCTGGGTGCTTAATGTCTTTTCTTTGCCTCCAGTTTCTCCCAGTGGTAATGGACATGCCTACTTGTGCCCGTCCCACCATTGTACTTGGGAAGCAAATGATTTACAATCTTGATTAACAAATTCACAGATGAAGAGGAATTTTGTACTAGGATGGAATATGTCTAAGGTGGAATATGCCTAACGTCTCACCCCTATTTGGTTTAGATGGTTCAGAGATCAGATTTGGAGTTGATTTAAGCCTTTTGGAGTGATGTGATGGGGTGAATGTGTTTTGCATCTGGCAAAGACATGAATTTTAAGGAGCCAAAGCATGGAATGGAATGGATTCAGTTGTGTCCTCTCAAAATGTATGTTGCACAT